AATATGGCGGGCCGAGCTTAAATTTTGTGATATTCGTAATGAGGAGCATCTAGAGTGTCCGTACACAAATTTTGACGGAAATCGTAGGGGCTCTCCCGAATGACCTTGAAATTCAAACATCCGTAACTTCGTAAATATGGCGGGCCGAGCTTAGATTTTGGGTGCATCGTAATCAGGACGTTACGTACTATCCACTGACCAAGTTTGGTCCAAATCGTAGGGGCTCACCTGATTCCGAATCTTAGATTATAGATTAGGATTCACTTACATCTAACTTGACGACCGTATAGAATTAGAGTACCTATCAGCGAGCGCAAACCTTACTTACTGTTCATTCACATTAGATTGAAGGCTCTGAACAAAATTCCATCTGACAATTTTTTCGTCAGCCGGTTATTCGTCGGCAGATTTTCGTCTGACTTTTTCGTCTTGCATTTTTTCGTCTGTTCGAATTAATTTGGTGCATTTTCGTCTGAGTATTTTTCTGTCCGGCATTTTTTCGTCTGGACGAGGCGGAAAATGTCCTTATGAAAATAATGCGCGGACTTAAAAATGCACAGACGAACAAATGCATAGACGAAAGTCTGCGGACGAAAATCTGCAGACGAAAAATTGTCCGACGAAAACCTGCTAAACGAAAAAGTTGAACTGTCATGGAATCATTGCTTATATTGCTCATTGCTCAATGGTGATTTGATGAATTGCAAAACAAATAAGTTTGACACTTACTTGGTCAGTGGGTAGCTTCCAAGTAGCTTCAAGCCCGGCATATCACAACCCAGAAAATATGTGAGGTGAGATTAGAAAAGAACTCTCCAAACCACCACTGTCCACTGTTTGACAGTTTCATAATCCATAACATTGATAATGTAAAAAGCTACCAGGTCTCTTGTTCCAGTTCTGCCTCACAGCCATGGCAACGATTTTGCTCTATATATGTCTACACAGTCTGGTTCGTTTTCTCTTCGTGTAGCTATCTAGCCCCTTGCAGCTGGTCGCTCAACCATAGATATTTATTGAAGTGCCTACAGACAAAACCTAGTGCAGGGTCCTTAGTGGCCCATGTGCAACATAAACCTCATGGTCCAGCTTCCAGGATTCTTGAGGTCCCTCAACAAAATGATGGTGTAGGTCCAGACCGTTCTCCTAAGATCCCATGACAAATAATAAAACTGGTACTGAAGGTCTGCATTCTGCAGGGTCTTGCAGCATACCAAAATTTTGAGGTCCTAACCCCTGGGTTTCCATGGTTTTACGGCATATGAAATGTTGAGGTCCTGGGTTTCTAAGGTCTCATGTCACATGAAATGTTGATGTCCTGGGATTCCAAGGTCTCACGGCATATGCAAATGTTGAGGTCCTGGGATTCCAAGGTCTCGCGACATATGCAAATGTTGAGGTCCTGGGATTCCAAGGTCTCGCGGCATATGGATGTTTTAAGGTCCTGGGATTCCAAGGTCTCGCGGCATATGGATGTTTTAAGGTCCTGGGTTTCCAAGGTCTCGCGACAAAAATGACAATACAAGGTCCAGGATCCTTCAAGGTCCCAGACCTTGGACTCTGCGAACCCTGGATCTCGGATCTTTTTGGGACCTTGGCACAAGTCTGTCAGGCACATTCCACCGCCGAGAAATCCTGCTCCGAGACAGATGAAGTGGACTGAAGAGATAGCCTTGATCCCATCCAGTAGTTGAAGTACGGACGACAAGCTCGGCATCGCGGTCCTCGATTATCCATGGCGTTCACTACGACACACTCCCATGCACTTTGATATACGCCGGTAAACAGGGATCCAAAGAGGTTCACGGGGATCCACGGAGATCCGCAGAGATCCAAAGCGATCCATACCGCCCGCACTCAGCCCGCGCGAGCCTCCGACCCCTCCCTTCCCCTCGCCAGCTGATGGCGCTCGGCCGGTCAGACCGAGAGGTGTGAACGAGATGGTCCCCCGCCTGAATACCGCCAATTGGCGATCAATCAGCGTCCGATTGAGAAATCTCCCCGCCCGTACGGGAAGTCACCCTGCCGAGTTTTTACAAAAGGCGTCATTAGAGAGCGTGCGGGGTTCGAGCCCACGGAGCCAGCGCTCTCAGAGACGGGCGGCTTTATTATAAATGGTCATGAGACGAGCGTGAGAAGCGTCCGATGGTATTTGGCCGGCTTGTAAGTAAACAAAGCGGTCGTGAGATTGCCTAAGTACTGTAAGAAGTGCGGTTTAAGTCCGTTAAGTCTTAGTGCTCAGGACTGCCGTGGGTTTTACATTTTATCGGCTCAAGGCATATGGTGTTCAGCTTTGGTTTATTTTTGAACCAGCCGGACGACACTGCCAGACCTTTGTTAGATTAGTGAGAGCTAGATTAGCTTCAAATGCTGATTAATTCCGTCTTGAAATTTGAGGCTCCTGGGCTATACTAGAAAGGGATCAACATTGATGCGACAATACAGTTTTTATATTTTTAGTAGAGAAGAAAATGTTTAAGCATTCGGTATCAGAAGCAGGAATTTGAGTCTACCTGAGCTTCGTTTGATTGCGAATTAGGCACATGATATCATCCCCGTCGCGTAATTCTTTTTTCCAATCAAAGGAAGGCGCTATACGGAGAATAACCCATTGCGTCATTGAAAAGTGACTTACACCTCGATTCGGTCAGCTGGCTGCTTGGCGTATTGGTTAGCGCACTCGCCTCATGATATGATAACTAGGGTTCGTATCCCGCTGCCGGCCGAAATTTTTGGCGCCTTGTAGGTTAGGTTAGGTTGTAGGTTTGTAGGTTTGTAGGTTGTAGGTTGTAGGTTTGTAGGTTAGGTTGTAGGTTTGTAGGTTAGGTTGTAGGTTTGTAGGTTGTAGGTTAGGTCAGGTTAGGTTAGGTTATGTTAGTTTTTGTTTGGTTTGGTTACAAAGAAGCATCTTCGGGTACAGCGCCTTCCTTTGGTTGGAAAAAAGAAACACGCATCCCCGTCACTTAATGTGATACTTGAAGCAGCAAATTTCACATTATTAAATCGAAGCGGCGACATTCGCGAACGTCCATTCGAATGGAAGTTTCCCCTTCAGAATTCTCTGGAGATCGATATTTGTGTCCACCACCCATTCTATATTTCAATTTTATGGACCACCTCTAACCAAAACCCGGACCCTCGGCCTTTCGCAACCACCACCAGCCGTTTATCCAAACCACTCTCCCCAGCATCTCAACACAAAGCGGTCTATCCTGCGGGCGCCGCACTCCGGCCAGGTGCGTTCCCCTCCCCTCGCACCCTCCCTCTTCCCCTCTGCCCCTCCTCCTTCTATCGTCTCTCCCTCCTGCCTCCGCTTTGATGCGCGAGACAATCCACGCATTCCTGGCTTCATGCTTTTCTGTCATAGTGGGTGAATTTTATGGACTTTTGTGTGACAGAGCCGGGCCGGGCGCGGCGGGGCTTCTCTCACCTTTATGCGCGAGTCACTCGGTAATCGGGCAGCCGAGACCGGTATGCGGACTCGCACTATAGCACGCCCTCCAGTCAAATAGCGCACGGGGGATGGCGTTTTGTGAGTGGCACGCCCCTTACGCATCGCATGCCGGCCTTCTCAGAAGGGAAGGAGGGGCCGCAGCGAGCCACCCCGGCTGAGGCGGGGCGCAGCGGGCCGCCGCGAGCGGAGATGAGCTCTGCATTGCTTCGTGCCGAGTTCTCTGGAAGCGGTCGGACCGCCGCCGCCGACCAGACAGGCGAGGCGTATTGCACGTTGCGTGATACAATGTAGATCGTGGACAGTGGGCGGCGCACCGGCCGGCTGAGCGCCAAACCGGACGCCCGGCGCCGAGCAGCATGTGCAATGCGCCCCGGTGCATGCCAGCGGAATCAGACGCGTAGCGGCCGACTCAGTGGCGTTGGATTAGGCGGGCCCGAGGAATTCGCCGCGATCAGGCCCGACTATGAGCCGGGCCCGCCGCGGTCTGTTCAGGGCCGGCGCGGCGGCTCGCTCGGCTCAGCGCGGCGGCTAGGAGCGGCACAACGGCTCAGATCGGCTCGCAGTTTTCTTTTCAGCTGGAGGCGGCGGCGCGGTGCGAGAAAGGGACAGGTGTCTGGCCGCAGAGCGGCGAGGACAAAGCCGAGGCGTCTTTGGTCGCGGTGCCGAGCCGTCTCGGGCGGCGGGAGGGCGGCCGGCGGGACGTTAGTAGGGATTCCGGAGGGGAGGGGTTATCCCTCGGGGAGGGCAAATGGGGGGCTCTGTTAGGGCCCAGCCGTCTCCTGGTTACGGTTTTGGTCATTAGACTTCATCCTGACTGATCTCACACACCCCTTTAGGCCGTCTAACCGCCCATAACAATTTTATGCGATCGCCTCGAATCTCGTTTAGAATCTCGGGATCAGTTTCGAAAGACCCTACGAACCCGCATCACAAAAACTCGGAGTTTGCCACCACGTTTTGCGAGCGACGCGGGGCAGGCCGCGTGCGGCGCCGGGCCGGTCGCGGTGGGTCGTCGGGGTACCGGGGTCCGGACTCCGAGCGGGCGCAGGTGGCGGCGACCTCGGCTGCTTGCGGTGACGCTCCATCTGAGCTGCGGCATTGTGCTGTCGGAGCGCGGGCCTCCCGCTGTGACCGACCCTGTCCCGGCGCTGTCCCGCCCGACCCCGGCCCGCCAGCGCCGGCCAAATGCCGACCTGTCAGACTCCACCCCGGCTCAGCGACCGCAGTCGTTCACCTGTGCCTCGTTCTTCATGAGAAGTGGCACGTGCTCATGGCTTGGTTTTTCACGTGCGCTCTGTTGAGCCGTATGAATACCGTGATCACGATGTTTAATTATGTGCAATTTCTTGCATTATGATGGACGGGTGGATAATTTGATTACTTTGTAAGTGCCCGTGATTTTCATTATAAAAATGAAGTGTGGAAGCTTAACACATACTTAATCTGATTTATCTGAACACATCTTTCATGCGTATCTTGCCTTGCAATGAAGTTTATTCCTATTTAGGTATGGGCGATATGAGTAATGAGTCTCATTTTGTTTCAGAAACGACCCACCAGGAAGGCAGAAGGAGCGACTGAGGCCCGCCAATAACTTTTAAGGTAAGTCCAGCACTTGTACATACAGCATCCTGTTGCATTCTTCCCTTTTTGCACTCAGCCCGAGCGAACGGCACAAATACATTCTCAGTTTGTCTCAGCACCATTCCAGCCCACTATCTCTCCCTCGCCAGCTCTCAAACCACACGGACACGATCGTACCCACGCCGTGAGCGATTCCCTAGCGATACGGCAGCCGCCAGAGCTGCAATGTGTCAGCTTTGCAGTCGCGATGTCAGCGCCGATACCTGTCCGTCACCGCTGGGCTGACCTTCGACTGCTTTCGCCAATTTGAGACGAAATCGGACAATCTCGGGCGCTAGCTGCGGATCATGGGATTTTTTTTCGGCAGGACTCCGAAGCCTGAAAGCGGGTTTATTTCTATTACATGGAGCACTTGTTTGTGACAGATAGTCGGACATGATATGGCGTACTAATGATCCATGCGTGCCGTAAAGCCTTTGGACAACTCACGCCTTTTTAAAACTTATATCTAATCGATCCACGCACGCCCTGCTTTTAAAGGTATAAAAACTAATATAATTTTTGCAACTGATTGACTCTAAAAACTCATTTAGGTACTCCAGACTATGCTAACATTTTATCGAATTGTTTAAATAGTCGGTGTTGATGCATCTACCATTATTCAGTGATTATGATGATGCCTATATCCATTGAATTACCATGATGCAAATATTATAATCCGATGAGACATTTCGGTTCAACTTTAGCTGGTATTTATCAACTACAAAGAAGCATTCGACGCATCATTTTTGCCTTATCTACGCAATCTAAATGCACCGTTGCTGAAATTATAGTTGGCTAAATACGGATATGAATGTGACTGACTTATTGAAAGCACGCAGTCAATTGAAAACGTCAAATTGGCAGCGAGATAGCAAATTAATATTCGCTATAGCCGATTACCCACTTATCGCAAACACCCAGAGATTATGCAACGCACACACAGCGGTTTAACATTCCATTGGATATTTCTGGTGAATTCCGAGTGCTTTACTCCAGCGTCAAAGATATCTATTTTTCGGCTGACAGGCCTTAGCTAACCCTACTCCCCAGCTAATTGGTCACGAATGCCGGTTTTGCCAGTTCGTGTTATCGTGGCATCGTTCGATCGCTCCTCGGGATCCACCGTTCGACGGAAAGTACGATACCCACCGGTGTCAACTGTCAAGAAATACGAGTTGTAGTAACCGGTCATCGTAGCAGGTTCCAGTGAATATGTCTTATGTGTGCAGAGCCAGGGCTCTTCTGATCGTGACTTGGTCATGGCGAGATCTCCGACTCCCCCTACAGTCAATGGAGGATTTACGTGCTGTTTTAATGAACCTAGATCATTTTTTTCTCCTTGATCAAATGAGTACCTATTCTGAAGCTTTCTAGGCGAAGGTATTCGACATGTTTGAGCGATGCATTATGATTCATGACAGCAATATCCATTAAAAACCAAACCCATAAAAGATATTTGCTAGAGTTATTACGATTATGAGTTACCTTCAGGAGCAGTATGTTTTTACTCAGTTGCACAAAGAATAAAATACTGCTCGCACAATATTGGAGATCGGTGTCCTATTTAGTGAAAACAATTGTGGAAGGAAACCCCCTTTGCCGAATCCATCCATCAAAACTAGATGAAAACTATCAAAACTCAGCTTTCCTCCTGAGCAATGGTGCACCCACGACTGAGGTTTACAGTCTGATCCGCACTTTTAAAATGCGGCCATCCAAATTTGTACCTTCCCGGTGAATTACATTGTCTTTTGAAATATCTGATGGATCGACGATTATGGACTCACTAACGATTCGACAGGGCCATGAACTAGTTACACAATGCATTCTTGGCGAATGCCAAACGCTGTAATGCGTTCCATAGAACATGAACAATGCGACGTTCTTTAAATATTCTGGCCTTTGCGATTCTGTTATCTTGATCTAAATGTCCCACTAGCTTTGATGGTTTTCTCGAGAGAAAAAAAAACTGCTCATTGATCTACTCGAACTAAAGAAATAATAAATTCTACTATTAACCATTACTGACATGCTGTTCATGATCATGAAACAAAACTGCCTCAGTAAGAAATAGGCTCGTTCTATCTTTCCATGCTGATTTGAACTGGAATCGCTATCGCTGTTTGACAATATTCTTTTTTCCCTTGCCATATTTGATAACCAAATTCCTCAAGTTAACAATGCCTCACTCTGTATCGTGTCTCAAACTATACTTGCACGTACTACATGTGCGTCGTATCCCACGTTTTACTCATGACGCATTCCGTGCCACATCCCATTTCTGCTCTGCGTCGTGACCCAGCTCATAGCCCGCCCCGCCCCCTCCTCTGGCGAGCATTATGATCTTGTGACCTGGGCGACCCCACCCCGGGCCGGGTCACTAAAGTGAGAGTGACCGCCAGAGGGGCAGTTTGCCGTCAGACCAACGCAGCGCTCTTGGGGCGGACCAGTAACTCGCGAGATGCCGTCCCTGATAGAGGAACCTCGTGCTGAAGAGATGGAGGGAGGTAGGGAGGGAGAGAGAGAGAGAGAGAGAGAGAGAGAGAGAGAGAGAGAGAGAGAGAGAGAGAGAGAGAGAGAGAGAGAGAGAGAGTCGCGATAGCTGAACGAGGAAGAGATAGGATGGCGATAGCAGAGATTGCGCCAGGAGAGACATGATTAGGTCATTTGACGTCATTCTTTCCACGGAGCCATTGTCCGTTGTATAATGCATAATCTTAAATCAAGGCCTCGCGTTCTCGATGATTAGCATTTGGATCGGTCATCGGTCCAGTTACCATTGGTACTGCACTCTTAGTGCGTGTCGTGGTTTATCATCGGCACTCTCTTCGGGTTGAAACCTCACAGACGAGGAAAGACTTTCAGTCAATAGCAGTTTGCGCAAAATCATTTTACTGCAACGCACAAATGCACCAAATTACCCCGACACTATAAAATCAATAAGTGTGGAGAACCGTGCTCATTGAAAAAGATGGTTTGAGGACAGACAGGCCAAGAGATTAGGCAATTACAAGAGGGCTAGAACACTCAGAAAGCCTAAGGAGAGCTGACTATCAAACCATTGACGACCATAGGACCAAAAGATGCGAGGACTATGGGAGTAGCGCCCCGCGCACATAGGACCAGCGAACCAGCGCACACGAGAACCAGGTCCAGCGCACATGGGACCAGCAATCCAGCGCACAGAGGCCCTCGGTCGGCGGGCACCGCGTATATATCCGGCCCAGCCAGCGCCGGGCCAGGTCACGCGAGTGGTGGTTCCCACGGCCAGCCTACATGGCGTGCCGAAAAACTCACAAACCTGCTCTTATCACGCCGATTCGGGTCCGACCGGCGTATTTGGCTGCGTTTGAGGTGGGCGCCGCAGACACTACGTGGAGCCTCCTGCGAGTGGCGTCAGTTGAGTTAATTTTACAGGCGGTGTTGAGTTTTGATCTGATTGCTGTTTAATTGTAGTGCCTGAAGTTTTGCTATTCTCTGTGAAATTATTTTCGGCACATTGCCTGTGTTACGTGATGTCAAGCATTTTTATGTTTCCAATAGAACATAAAATTTGCAAATGCATAGCGTTTGTTAATGTAGTTACATTTCATCAAATTGTTATCATCTGCAACCAATTTCTCCCCAATTAATTAAACAGTTTCGATCATCAACTTAATGACCAAAACCATGAAGAGAACAGAGTCAGAAACACTCTTTCAAAGCAAATGGCTTTTGTCGAGGTATATTCAGGTAAACATTTGAACGTTATCTGCTGCTGCCTTATCCTTTACTGATCCGAACATCCACATGATCAATCACCAATATGACATGACACTATTTAAGAATACTGCACTACTTGCCCTATCCATTAATAATCTGATCTTTTTTGTTGGTTCCCGGATCCAGTGCCCCTTTTCCTGACGGGAAGTTCTCCGGGCGCAGAGGCGGGACGCCCGCCCGAGTGGCGGTGACACTGCTTTCTTTTAGTGCGCCATTTTCCTTATCGGCGTGAATGTGCCAATCGAAGAACGAATTTTAATGGTGTCCGCGTTCTACCGGTGGTCGTTGGAGTAGAAAGACGACCTTCAGACTTGAACGACTAATTAAACACCAGCCCACCTGACCAAACGCGAGAGAATGCGCGCTGGACTCGGCCGCGGGCTGGGCGCGGCGATCGGCGGCCTCTGGAGAGGAACTGCAGGGCGCGCGCGGCTCGGCGCAGTTTCGTCACCGTCTCCCCGAGGGTGCCAAACGCTCGCTCTGAACCCTGCGCCGCCTTCTCAGTATTATTCCAAGCATGATAATAGAGTATTGCAGGAGAGCGGAGGGCGTCTGAGAGCGCGCAGCTATCCGGGCCGGCCCGCAGAATGTCAAACAGCCGGCCGGCAATGACATGGCACTATCGCGCAGGACCCGGAGGCCCGCGCAGGATCCGGAGGCCGCCCGTGGCGCACGCTCCCGCTCCCTCCCTCGACGGCCTCCGAAATCCCGGCCGGCCGACCGGCGCCCGCCGCCGCCGCCGCATCGGCTGCATTATCATGCAAAGCTGATGTATGCGTGTTTATTTGGATTTGGGCGGCCAGAGGCGTCGCTGGATACGCCCTGACCTGCGTGGGGTCGCCGTCAAACGGCCTGTTGAGCTCCACAAAGCCGTCCATTTGGGGCTGCAAGTGTCATCGCCGGGCGTGTGGGCGATGCCGAGGACGCTTAATGCGGTCCAGTCATGGCCTATTCACGTCGATACTAATCATTGTTAGTTTGTCGCTGAATGACCTCAGCCCAAATGATTCTTCGGCGAAGAAGTTGGACTACCCCTTGCTGATTTTAACACGATGAGGCTCTTGATCTTTATTCCACTTGGGCTTCAATCTGGTTTTCCCATGTTAAGCAATGACCTGTTTTCTGTTCTGATCCCATCGACAGTCTGCGACAGATTTTCCCCTGATCTGTCTGAGCGACCTTTTCCCACGTGCCGCGTCGTCGCTGGCCATCTCGAACTGACGCCGGCATGTGCGCCGGGCTCGCCGGAATGCCTTTGTACCCACCCGGTCTCTCTGAGGACAGAGCAAGCTCCAGTCGCTTCGTTCGAGTGCATGGACGCACGGTATGCAGACAACGCACACATGCACACAGCTCGTTTTCGGCACACGCATATCTAGGCAGATAATATTTCTTGGTATTCATGCGTTAGTTTATATATTATATGCATAATGATGTCTTATTATCCGTCAATAGTGTGCGGCCGTCAAATTGTGGATCGCTCCGTTTGAAGCCACGACTGGTATTCATTAATTGAAATGCCTTAGGCAGCCTGTCCCATTATTTCGTGCGAGTAAATCGCCTTCGCCTGTGTTCACATCCGACTGTTTCATGGTCGGCAGTCCCCGTGCTGGAGAGGTGTTCCCAAGAGCTCATACATGGTCGCCGTCTGCAGCCATGGCTCATGTGTCGGTCCCCTTCTCTCAGCGGGTCGTCGACAAGGCGCAGCTCCTGAGTGACCCCCCCCCCCCCAGTCCGCCCTCACTCTGTGCGGGCGTCTGACCGCCCTGTCGCGGCCTAAAAGCCCCGACCGCGCGCCACAGGCCGTCGCCCGGCATTCCGCGCATGGTACAAAACCAGGAATGCGCGCAGTCAAAACTAAAGGCGATCGTATCTGGGCGGCTCTATTTTACGTCAAGGGCGTCGTCGGGCGGGCGGTCTGTATCTGCCCTGGCATCGGGTGCGCGCGATTGGTCTGCTTTGTGACGGCGACACGAGCAGTTTGAATATTTTCCGCCCCCACCGAGAGAAAAACATTCCCATGCTGAATCAGTCTATCGCCGTCTACTGTTTGGGAATGTCAGGCAGCATGAATAAAAACAGCGCTGTTTTGTCAGCGGCGAGAGCTGTCCTTTTTGTCACTTGACCGCGCCGAGATAACGTATGCACGGATGAAAAAGCAGCTCACCGGGAAAATTCCTTCACGACGGCGGGCGCATTCCTCGGTCGGTGCAGATTGACACCAGGTGCGCACTCCGGTGCTTCAGAAAAGGGCCAGCATCACCTGCAGATGCACGGACAATGATGCAAACGCCCGTGGGAAGATATACTGCAACATGCACTGACACGGGTCGTGGCAGTTCACATAAGGAAAGAGAACACACTACGGTCACGGTCGTTTAAGTGGAATGCTACGGAGGAATGGAATGTGTCTGTCATTCTGTTTCACAAAAATAATTAGCTTTGTTTACAGCTCTTAAATAATTTCATTCATTGCAACAAAACAAGCTTAATGAAAAGGACCGACCAGAACCAGGTTCTTCTTATTTTGAAATGATTCATGAATATCTGTGCAGTTGGCACTTGACTTATAGATAAAATATAGGCAACTAGCCATATCTGGAGGTTTGTGAATGCCTGTGGTTTCACTCCCTGATAGAGCGTTTCTGTTACATAACACACCTGAAGTAAAGCCTCTCTCGTCAAGTCGTCAATACTAAAGTATAACGCCCTCAGACACCGAGTGATATACTGCCACCTTTGATACCACCAGGCCGCTTAGCATGATTCACATTCCTAAACCTGTGAATGTCATTCCCAATACTCCATCCGAAAAGCTCACAGCGGGCTCCATTCCGGCTCATGTGTTGCAATCGTGGCGCACAACTATCTGCAAAACTGCCTCGTCAGGTGCCAACGAACACAGGGTGTTTTTGTACCCAACCACCAGCGGCTCCTCCCGTACCCACAGCAACGCAGCATCAGCTGGCGCGGTAGCCATTGGCTTCGAAGACAAAGTTCTCTCTCTCACTCTCTGTGCCACGTGGGAATGCTTGGCGCCAGAATACGTCACGGGGTGAGCAGGACAAGGGACGGGTCCCGTGGCGATAAATCGCAGTTCGCGCCCTGCATGACACGGCTACTCGCAACAACAAATGCTCCGTGACACGGACCGGCGATGGCAATGCCTGGCACGTAGATACCGTACTACAAAGTCAGTTTTCTATTTGCGGAACTGCACGACACGACAGGGGAATGTTTGTGCCTCAGTCATACGCGGGCCAAGGGGAAACGGTACGGTTCATCCAAGCCGGCTCCGTGTTTAGAACATTACACAGACATGGAATGATAATCGGAAAGGCGCCTTATATGGAGTGCCGGTAAATATTCCAATAGAATGAACGGACACGTAACGGTAAGCGTATTGGGAAGGTAAGGTACAACAGTCTGGAAGCAGTGCATGAAATCAAATAATGAACAAAAGTATAAGCAAGCATTCCAAGCTAAAAGGCCATGCAAGTATTGAACGTGGTATCACAATGCATGTGGAATGTTGATGCACCTACTGTAAGTCAGATATAAGGGGCTAGCCGAAGTGACGCTGCTTTTGGCTAACCAAACAACATATTTCTATATGCCTACATTGGTCACTTACGATGGGACGTCTAGAAGATGGCGGGACGGGTACTGAGCAGCGCTGCTCATTTCTCAGTCGACACTGCGCCGGCCACGGTTTGAGAAATGATCCGTCCAGTGAGCCGTGGGGGGTCGCCGGGCAGGGTCCCCGCCGCGCAGAGGTGCAAAAAGCAGCCAACTCGCCAACCGGTGTTTGCGACAGATTTGGACTCAACTGAACAGCTTGTGCGACACATTTTGCTTGTGATCATTGTGTTATAGTAACAGTCTTCATATTTCAATCACAAATACGGATAATGCAGAAACTCCGTAATCAAATCATGCACATCGCATGCGTTCAAATAATTAGTAGTCGAGACCTAATACCCAATTGACGCACAGTTGTCAAACCCGCGCCATGACTGGATAAATTTAGCCTTAACGCAAAAAGTGAGCAACTCTGTCGCACGGAGCGTTGTAAAGCGTATTCCTAGTTGGAGTTGGTTGTGCGACAGTTGTCTGCGACAGGTGTCGCACGGTTTTTGAGGTCGGTTGCCGTTGATATTGATAGTTGCCGCCCGCGGTTGCTGTTAGTTTGCCATGAACCCATTGCGTGGTGGTGTTGGACCGATTAAAAGGCAGAAAGGTGCTGCCTCCGACGCCAAGAAGCCCCCATCACGTCGACGCGTGGTGTGTGGGATTGACGGGTGTGCGTACAATGGCGAGTACAGGCTGCATGCAAGGCACAGGCAGCTGGTGCATTCTGGAAAAAGAGCGGAATATGCCAACAGCTCCTTTGGTGTGGGAGGACGATTCAGGAGCTGGGTCCAGAAACCATCTGAGGATCAATATGTCCATCTTCGGCAGGAAAGCCCAGGTTAGTAACTGGTTAAAATAACATAAGAGATGCCAGATTTTGTGTTTTTTTTCAAACTTTAATTTTCATGCCCATTTTTGGGTCGTTTCGTTTCAGTTTTCTAGGCAATATCTAAAATGCAAAATATTTGTAAAAACCTGATTTATTAATTTCCGCACCATATGTAAATGTGATGAATGATGATCACCTACCTGTCCTATCATGTCATTTTTTAAAATTATTGTTAGTCAATTTGTTAACATGGCTGAAAGGATTTTTTTTTCAAATATCAAGAGCTCTCCTTGATTTATTAAATCTGGTCAGTACCTAAAAGTATCTTTGTCGGAATACAATTTTGACAATATCATTCCATGCTCCTGCATGCATTAGTAGATGTATTAATAATTTCCATAGTATGTTGTCAGAACAAGCAGCAATTTATCCTGTTTAAGGGTATCGCCAGAGGGTTTCCTTCAAAATGTCAGGTGTTTTTTTTTTTAGCTGCTTGTCTAAATATGGTTGAGGTCCCAATCTGAAGTTATTATTCCAAAATAGCCTGTTTTGAATGAGTGACCCTCCAATGTTGATTTCTAGAGACACACACAATGCCGGGCTTAGCTGCCAGACAAGCAATCCTGCCAAGGCCCTAAAGACTGCTTCAACATTACATGGCAGATTAAAAAAACAAAAAATATCAAGATTTCTTGAATGTCTCTAGTTACCTCCCCAAAAGTTGGGGGAGCATGATGAGACTGACAGCACCCACCTGGAGGCAATTGTGGGCTGTAATATCTTAAATTTCCTTAGGGAAACTCTTACTGAGCTGAGCTGACCTGATGGCTAATGTTTCATCATGCCTGTAAGTGGATGTAAGGCATTTGGTTTAGGTTGTTTGAAAACAGGTCATTATTTAGGCATAACATGCCTAAGGGTGGTAAATTACTCCTGAATTACATTTTTCTTATCAACAAATACCTTCTAAAATAATTAAATAAATACAAATTATCCTGCCTTTCCATTCCTTTAGGATGTGATGACAATATTTGTTAGGTACTGATTAATGAAAAAGTTTAATAGTTTGCTTTTTTCCTTTCAATACCACATCCAACTTGCCACTTAAGTGAAATGTGGTGTTCCTTTTTGTAAATTCTGCTAACAGGCATCTAACTTTGTTGATCAACTCTTGAATTTGTGATGCAATGCATAGCTCATCTCTCTCTCTCTCTCTCTCTCTCTCTCTCTCTCTCTCTCTCTCTCTCTCTCTCTCTCTCTCTCTCTCTCTCTCTCTCTCTCTCTCTCTCTCTTTCTCTCTCTGTCTCTGTCTCTGTCTCTGTCTCTGCTCTGTCTCTGTCTCTGTCCCTGTCCCTGTCCCTGTCCCTGTCCCTGTGCCTGTCTCACTCTTTCCCACCCATTTGTAAAATTGCATGTCAAGAAGTGCTCAAACTTCAGTCTTATTGCCTAAGTATTTGTCAAAAGTAACTCCAACCTTTGGATGTTCTAGGTGCTGCCTTGAGAAGTGAGGAGAGTTCACCCCCAGAGGAGACTCCTCAGTCCTGCTCACCAGGCCAAGCAGCTTCCAGCCCAACTCAGTGTGCAACTGAACCCCAAGTGAGTTCAGACAACGTCTGTCATCGCTCGGAGGATGTGATTGGGGAAACAACGGACAACACCGAGTCGGCAACTTGTGGTGGCTGCTGCTCAGTCTGTGGTGTGTCCTGTAAGGCCCAAACTTTCATGTCGGACGCTCAAAAAGTGCTTCATGTTTTGGAAGAAAAGTGCCGTGAATTGGCAAGTGACGCCTTCGTGAGTGAGGCTCGAAAACTAGTCGCAAAACTGGACCAGAAATGCACGGAACTTCCAGACAAGCTCCCGGCAGTTGCCACTGAGGATGTAGGTGAGGGAGAGCACATCAGTGTTCTGTTCCGGTCCGGTCGCAGTATATCCACTCTCCAGACGGCGTCAGGTGGCGAACTAATGGTAGACGAGGAGAAGGGATATCTCTATTGCTCAGTCTGTGTGCCTCAGCCGAAAGACGAACAGAGAAGCAGACCTGGCTTGTTTGCCTACGACTTTTCACTTGGCTCAGTGTTCGCCAACTGTTCCGTGCTGCCACCACGGTTTAAGAGCCTGCGGGACACAGTTGCAAAACATTTTAGATCGGAAGGCCATAAGGCCATGAAAAAGTCGCGCTGTGAGTCGAACGAGCGCGAAAACGCCCTGCATGATGCAAACAAGACGGCGGCAGCGAGGGTTCTTCGAACAGCATACCTCGTTCTGAAGAAGTCGCTCAGCCAGCTTCTTTTCGAGGAACTCATTGTCCTCCAGCATTTGAATGACGCCTTCATGGGAAACATAAATCACTCGCGCATGATGATGGACACCGCCAGGACGGCGGTCTGCCAGACATTGCTATCAAATCTAAAAGAACACGTAGAATCTCAACCGTGTGTTGCAGTACTGGCGGACAAAGTCACCATCGCCCGTCGAACAGTTGACATAACCGCAATACAGACCCTTGTGCCGAACGCAGAGCCCGACCACATCTTCCAGACCTTCGTGGTCGGCGCTCCTGTCGTGAAAAATCATGACGGCGAGGCGCTCGCAGCCGACATCTGCAGCACGCTGTCTGAGGTAGGCGTCACCAACACGGAGAAGATTGCTGCTGTGGCGGCCGACGGCCAGTTCCACCACAATGGTGTGCCACAAAAGCTGGCACGACTACTGGAATCGTCGAGCGGCTGTCCCATTCCGGCCGTATGGGACCAGGCGCACCTGATGAACCTGGCTGAGTCCGATGCTCGCAAGCACTGTAACAGTAGATGGGTGAGAGACACCATTGAAACAGTAACAGAGGTGAACAAGATGTTCTCCATCGGCAAGGGATGGGAGGACCTCAGGCGATGTGGCGAGGATATGGGAGAGCCGGTACTGCGACCAAAGCTGTGGTCTGAAACACGCTTCGCAGCGTACGCTGCGGAGGTGTTTTCCGTCTTCAGACGGAATGAGAAGCAGCTGCGAGCGGCACTGCGCAGGAAGAGGATGGAGGAAACGCGACCGTCGCATCTGAAAGAGCTGGAGAGGCTGCTTGTCTCGCTAAACGGTAAGTACTTCAACCAGGCTCGATGGAGACAGCTGTGAAGCAGCTGTCGCCCCAAAGTAACCATTGGGTTATGTGGTTCTGGTCCTTCTCGCATGTCTCTCTCATTTTGTGTTATTAATTTTGTCGTTCAAGTGTTGTGCTGTCCGGATAAGTTGTCACGCAATATCAATTACCATTCAAGCCTTTCCTTGTTGACCGAGCGCCTTTCACTAACTCATTGTACTTTGACACCTTTTTAATTTTTGGAGACGACGATGAGACATTATTCACGAAACCTCATTTAAATATGGCATCGGAATGTAGGAATTACTTTCTAGCTTTTCACTACTTTAATTATTGCTGTTAATGTTGCCGTAGCCAAGAAATGTGCCACATAATTGCGAACAGAACAAGACATTATTGCCAAGTTTTAAATGACATTATTTCTTGTTTATGACCAATGATGGTAAAAGCACAACGTATCTGCTCACAGATCCAGCGTTTCATGCCCGCGTGAGGGCGCTGGAGGACATATATGGTGTACTGGGAGCAGCCAGCAAAGCCGTCCAGAGAACGCAGTCCCTGCCGTGGGAGCGTCATGCTGACCAGCAGGAGGCCGTGGAGACGATCCGCCGCATGAAGGTAGCGCTGGTGACACAGCACAAGAAATCGCCTACCACAGAAGACCTCCTGTGTTTGGCTGATAAAGACGAGCTGTGGCCTCGCTTATCAGCGAGCGAGCCATCAGTTCCAGCAGCGGAGGTGAGAGGCTCGGCTGTTGGTTATCCTGGTCACCAAGTACTTTCCGATTGATCTGAACTGAATAGTGTGTTAGGCTAGGCAATAGGCATGCACATGTTTTTGCAAAGACACTCGCGCTTTAAATGCATTTTCGTATGTGTTTGTGTGTGTTTGGGAAAGGGGTCTTAGGATGGTTACAGGTACCTTAAGTGCAAAATTATCCCGGAGTAATATTAGTTACCTGCTATTAACAGCTGTTTATTCAGTTACATTCAAAGCACGGCTGCTTCTTAGCTGACATCTTTGATGATCACCGCTGTTTATAAGCAATTGCCTTGCAAAAAAGTAATTTGAAAACACGCACGCATACTAACACAAAGTATAGCATGCGTACGCTGTCTGACTTCGATCAGGTGACCTGCAAATAGGTAACGGTCCTGTGATAAGGTAATAAGATTGGCTGAGCTAATCTAAAACGCTTTCCCCCTTTTTGTTTCATTTCAGGTCGCCAAGATCGCCTTCTTCTGCACCAGCATAATGGAGCGACTGAAGTTCCGAGGGGCTGGTCAAGATGTCAGCGGCTCTGACAAGAACACGGCCAATAATGTTCTGGGTCAGAGCATGGCTGATCTGCGCGCCGTCGCTGACCTGCACCAGCTGGCCGGATCGACCGTGCCAGTGCCAGTGGCAGCTCGCCTCTACCGAGAGGCAGGGGAGAGGCTGGTCAGAAGAAAGCTGATCCCAGTGGACACGGTACCGACTGAAGGTGAGATTCGCTCCGTGCTGCCGCTATTGCGTCGCCATCGTGAAGAAACCAACCAGCAGCTATGGAAGATGCTGAACCGGCACGCTGATGACCACTCTGCAAGGGCCCTCACCAACCTGGTCACCCGTATCTGGCTCCTGTCCCCACCAGAAAGTGTTGTGGAGTCGATGGGCAGTGTCATCGCTGAGGTTTTTGGGGAACATCGGCAGCTGGAACACGGCAACGCTGCGAAAGAACTAATTGTGAGGTGGAACGGCCCATCGCTGTGTCGGGCCGACCGCCTCCTCTCGCGCGTCCACCGTCACCTCTCTCGCGACGACAGCTTCCGGTGCGTTCGGAGGACGACCACCATCGGTCAGTCCTTCCACGGAACAGTTATTACCCGGCACAAACGGGCCCCTGACCACAGGGCGTGCCTTTGGACTTAGATATAGTAATGCAACCATGTTTGTAGAATGCCTGTTAGATTATGTATTGCTTTTAACCCTCGTCCGTATAGGGGAAGGGGATCGAACGCCCCACCCGCCTCGGTTTTTCGCGATAACTCGGCCGATCGGGACGAAACTTTCAGTACTCTCGAGTCAATCAATTTTACACCTACCCAGAAAATTGCATGACCCTGACCCAAATGACCTTTGACCTGTGACCTCTTTCTCGAAACCATGTTAGGCTGGAATTGCGATTCGGCGTGTGGCGGCTCGCATTGGCCGTTTGTAGTCTTTTTGTGGCTTCAAGCGTTCAAACATGTGATATGATGTTGTTCCCATGCATTATGGTGGGTGTCAAGGTCGCCTGAAGGTCAGGTCAGGTCATTGACCTTTGATGACCTCGGCTCACTTTTTAGTTTTTACCTGTGTCCAGGCTGGTTTTTGGAGCTGGTTTCGAATTTAGCATTTAGTGCATTTGGCATTTAGCGAATTTAGTGCCGGTTCTGCGACAACTGAGCGAACGTCATTTCAGCGAACGACATTTGAGCGAAACATTTTCAGCGATTATCAATTTAAGCGATTGGCTTTTTCAGCGATTGTCAAGCCGGCGAATTCAATCACAGCGATTATCAACTTTAGCGAGGACCAGAATCAGCGAAACCAGATTGAGCGAACATATGGTGGTCAGTGGGAGACCAGTTGAGCGATGCAGTTACAGCGAATGACCGAACGCGACGAAAGTCAATCATTTGCTACTTTTCGGAAATTATTGCACCTCTTCACGTAATTTCAATTTTGAAGAAACATATGTACATCGGACGACCAACAAGGGGTGCATGGGAGGGCAGTGTGTCCAAAATTGTAATGATGCGGGGAAATCCGCCCATAATGAAAATAATGACATCCTAAAAATACAAATAAAAACATCCACACAGCAGTCACGACTCATAATAACAACCTCGAACCCAAACATCTAGGAGCAAGAGAAACACAAACCTCGCAAACTCTTACAACACGCCAAGACAACCAATCGAATACCCCAAATGTTCAAATATATGACCCAACTTAAACCTCATTTAACATATCCCGAATACCAGAATGCCTTCAAAGTTTTATCAGTATTTAATATTTCTACATCATTTTCTCGTGGCATAAAAAGGGTCGAAGTCAAGTTTTATTAGAATAACGACATCCTTTCAGCCCTTTTTTTCTGCATCCTCCCCTAACGTAAAATGAATTTAGCCACACTGTGGGAGGGGAAGGAGGCGGGCAAAATTTGAATTGAAAATGTGGAACGTGAGAGATAGGGCGACGGAAGGAATGCCAAGGACCAATAACAAACTAGAGAGATGGCACAGGGGAATCCAGTCTATGTTTTAGGGACCTCACCCAAATATCTGGAAATTCGTACGGTGCTTGGGGCAAGAACAAATTTTACAACATGGGGAACTGATCCAACTTCAAGCGGGGCAATTTCGCGAAAAAAGCACAAGCAATATTGATCTCTGAACAAACGTTTGGTCACCATTATTGACAAAGAGCAGGGTGGGTTAGGGGGGGGGTGAAATTGAACCGTTGGAATTTTTGACAAATGTAGCATTAAAATTGGAGCTCAATGCCTGACCTTTGAACGCGCGACATCCGCCATCCAGTACAGGATAACCATGAGATATTCCGGAAACATTCGTACGCATACGCTCGCAAAAGAAAAAATCCACCGTTACAGGACGATGAAATGTTTCGCTGAACTGACAGTCGCTCAAATTGTAGTCGACGAAATATATGTCGCTGAAACATAGCTTTCGCTAAAATTGATAATCGCTATATTTGATAATCGATGAACTTGATAATCGCTGAATTGCCATTCGCTGAAAATGGTTCGCTCAAATGACGTTCGCTCAAATGACACTCGCTAATGTCGCTCGCACCGTTTAGTGCCTTTGTAACATGTTACGAAGCTGTCAGTGGCGGTTGACACCTACTTTGAATACCCAGCAGGACATCTACTGGTTGACATGACCTGACCTGACCCGGCCTGGCTTAAATGCATGAAGACATCATGCATTTATGTCCCGTATTTGGATTGTGAAGCCACTGTCTTTCAACGTGATATGTGACTGTGGGTGTGTGTGTGTGTTTGAAATGACGATGTGAATGATAGCATTTGTCACAGACTTCTCTGTTTCCATGGAGACATAGAGAAGTCTGTGCATTTGTAGATAATCTGTTGTGCTTCTGTTACTCCTCTCGTCAAATTAAAAGAAGAATACTTGCTGCTATTGGTTGAGTGTTGATGAAATTCTGCAGATGTTCAGGTTACTTAAGAAGTTACGCGAGTTTTTGGTGGTGCATCGGTTTATTTTTGTGTAGGCTGTAACAACAGAGGATTATACTTCAAATAAGTCAGTAACTTTGTTTGAAACCCTGTCGTTTTTTTCAAGCATTCAGTGACTGCTCGTTTGTGCTTTCAATTCGGAAAACCTAGATGTGGTAAAGCGAAATGGATTGCAGATTCTTTTGACTAAAAATGTCAAACTTCGAAGAAGACACCTTAGGATCTATGGGAAAATAAAAGACAAAGCATAGATTAAAGCTCCGGTAATAATATCTGCATTGTATACCTACGCTCGCAATTTTCGGAAATGGAGGCAATGCGACAGAGTTGAGAGGTTATGTTTGAGTATGCGACAGGTCGATTGGTTTTTGCACCTCTGCCGCCGCGTCCCCTCCCCCCCCCCCAGAGGGGTAGTGTGTTTGTCTGGCGAGGACCGCCCTCCAGCCGCGCTGACCCTACCGGTCAGGGTCGCTAACCGGTCCGTCTGTCATCTTGTCATTTAGTGACACAGTGTATGACACATGACACACTGGTGTCATGTGAGGTCACCGTCACCTTGGTGTCACCATGTGATCTCCGATGATGGCTGATATAGTCAGGTGCACCCGACGTCAGCTGATGTCATCTGATTTCCTCTGGATGTCCCTCAGTATCATTTGATGTCACCCGATGTCATCTTGATGTCCCTCAGTGTCATCTGATGTCACCCGATGTCATCTGGCATCACTAGAAGTCATCTGGCATCCTGTGACTTCATGTCCACTTCTGGTGAGGGTTTCGACGTCATTCCATGTCACAAGAGATCAGCAGTGAAACACGGGTCACCTGTCGACATCATGACCCAAACTATCACAATCAAAGCTCTCGTAGATCAAACACTGTGGCTATCAGAGCCATCAACGATCAGAACCATCACCGTAACGAGCTGAAGGCAGCAGCGACATCCGCAGGTCACAGGGTCGTTTGTCGTTACCGGTCACCGTTACCGATTTCGCCGTAGTTGTCGGGCCGTCACCTGGCGTTGACAGGAGCACCTGCCAGTCACGTCCGCGTCCGACCAACCGTCATCTCGGCGGCCACCAGATGTCGGTTCGGATGTCGTCTGCCATCTGCCAACGGTCGCCCCCGCCGGGTTGACAGTTGGCAACTGGCAGTGGATTTCCGGTGGATGTTCGGTTTAGTTCTGATTGTGTAAGTCAGTCTGTTGTATCGGCCAACTCCAGGTGGTGCTCCCCTGTCTTTGTTGGCTCGGGTTTGCTGCCCAAAAACGTTAGGATGCTATGTGTCGTTACTCGTTAGAGATTGTTTGTGCATTTCTAAAGAGCCATCCGGGCATTGGTATCCAGTGAAAATGGATAACCTTTCCTAAGGAACAACAAACCATCTCTTAAAAGGTCGCAGTTTATGACTCGCCTTTGGCTCACGGACTCCAAATGATCTTTTGTTTAACCGCAGTTTATGTCCTTTGAACATAGTTTAAGTACGGTTATTGATGTCTTCAAAGATCAGTCCATGGAAATATGTCAGTCTGTGACCTTTCGCCGACGGACCCCATTTTCCAGCATTTGAACTGACCATCCCCACCAATTCAATGCCGTCTTCCTTGGCCATTGAACTGGCCAGCTGCTTGAATCGTGAGCCGGAAGTCTCCACAGCTTCGCCATGACAGGAGGCACCCCGGCGGGGCGAAAGAGAACAACGGGACCCTCGCGCGCGCGCTGAATGCGTTGGCGGCGAGGTGTCGCCAGCGACGGGCTGAATTCCGCGCCCACGTCTTGTCACACCTCTGTCGGAGACCTGGGCCTTCCCGAGCGGTCGGCATTTGTCGACAGTGGGCGAAATCTCACCAGATCTGAATAGTGAATCAGCAGAGGGCTGAAGGGCAGAGGCCGGCGCGGGTTCGAGGCGAGATCGCTCCCTTTTCCAGAGGAAATGCGTCGATTGTTCGGCTGGCGAGGGCTCTGAGAGGTTTGGCAGAGTGGGGTGAGGTGGTCTACGATCCATCAGGTGGATAGAAGATGCTAGTCAAGTTTGGAATGATTCAATATCTCAATCGAAATGTCAATGATTATGAATACTGGAAAGTGGCTTAGGCTAGCCTAGATGCTAGTCAAGCTTGGATTGATACAATGCCTCAATCAGAATGTCCATGATTATGAATACTGGAAAGTGGCTAGCCCGTTTGTCAAATGTCTAGCGACCTGGCATAGGAAAGAAACACTTATGAATGCATGCTTGCCGTATGAATCACTGCCTCTGAAAGGGGGTTTGGGACTGAATGAAAGACAATTCTCGCTTCTAAACCTGACTCTTCAGTCATCAACTTGCCAATTATGTCATTCTCAGCCTGTTAACCGGAAGATATCTGCTTCAATGTTTCCTTTAGCAGCCATGCCTCACATAACCATTAACTCTTCTCTGAAACTCCACCATACGGAGGCAGTTTTACCTCCTAGTGAATGATGTCTCCTCCTCTCCTAGTGAAATGTCTCACCCGTGACCATGTTACGCCAGTGAGCTGGCCTTCCCGACACCATCCCGTTGAGCAGCACACCTCTCCCAGTGACCGGGTCAGCTCGCTCCGGCCGGCGCCGTGTCCCAGTGCAGGCCCGGCCGTCCGCGGCTGGTATGGAAATGGCCCGATGTCGGGCCCCAATGTCCGGCGATGGCTAACAGACGGTATCAGGCTGTGATGCATACAGCCGAGATCGCCTCCTGCATAAAGATAATACCGCCGCCGCCGCGCCGCGCCGGCCGAACCGGCGTCATCCCGCCGCGGGGTGCGCGCTGCAGTCGAAATAAATGGGCAAAATTACTGACAAATTTAATCCTGATCGGAGCCCGCAGTGCGTCGGCTGGACAGGCGGCTAAGCCATTTCACCCAGACTGATTATTTTTGTGTCATGGAGCTGTGTCCTATCATAGTCCACGCCCTGATGGTCAGATATAATCATATATGTAGGCTATCTAGCCGAGTGCCATACCACGAGCGCGGGACACACATTGCTGCCAGGTCTCGAGTTGACCAGAGTGTGGGGCGCTGTATAGGCATCCAGCCTGCGTGGGTATAATGCAGTCCCACAGACTAAGAGTCGCTGGAAAACCCGCATCGCCGCTGCCGTAAACGTCGCAGGAAATGTGTTGGCTCCTCTGAGCCC